CCCAGCAGAGAATGAATGATCCAGCCCCAAATGCCAATAGTGCTGAGGTGGAGAAACGCTGTGTTTGAGGAACAGTGAGGAGGCCAGGGATGCTGGAGGGAGGCAGTGAGAGGATGAGGTTGGAGGTAGCAAGAGCTGGCGGAGCAGCAGTGCCGGGTCAGGGAGGCCTTAGGCCCTTGTGTACTTTGGCTTTTCCTCCAAGAGAAATGGGGAGCCACTGGAGGGTTTGGAGCAGAGGAGGGGAGTGAGTTTTAAGAGTGCTGCTCTGGCTGCGGGTGGAAAACAGACTGAAGGAAGGTAAGGCTGGGATGAGGGAGTCATCCAGGCAGGGGAGATGGTGGGGTACAGACCAGGGTGGAAGCAGCTTCATGACCTCTGGGCAGCAGAACCATCCAGTGCCAAATTTTAGACCTCAGGCAACAAGGTGCTTGGGTATTTCACATGATCCCCACTCTGTTCACTACTATAGATCTTATACTTTATATATGTTACCTGTATCTAAATGGATGGATGGATGGATGGATGGATGGATGGATGGATGGATGGATGGATACATGGATGTAGTTAACTGCTCTAGGCTGTGTTTTACACAATAGGATACCTGATAACTGTTTTAGCAACCAGTTCATGACAAAACAATTTGCTGCAGGTTAGACACAGTGTAATCCTTTCCTGCTTTAACAGGGTCTTGGAAAAGACATTCGCTCTTGCTGACACCTCTTTTGTGGTATATTTCTTTAAGCTACATATAACCCTAAACAGGCTAAATTACCTGAAAATGGGATGAGGGGAGCCTAAAAGGTCTCAGACGTCATAAACAGGCATTTGAATTTCTTCCCTCTTTTAGAAATGTATCAGATTATTCAAATGGCTAATCCTCTCTTACTTGATCAGCCAAAGCAAAGGCTGAAACACAGCGGGAAACACCAAGAGACAGCTAATGCCTGCTTTCACCCAGAGGTCTCAAGCATCACGGCGGGGGCCTCCTCATTCGGCCGTGTGATGTCCCTGAAGTGCACGCCTTGTCCCGTTTCAACTGTAAACACTGGGAGTTGTGTGACAGCCACAGCAGGGGCTGGACCCACCTGGGCTCACGCTCCACCTGTCCACACACAGCATCGCATTGCACTTACGGCTGATATATTTCGTTACCATCTTACAGTATTACCCTATTTCTTATCTCATGCTGTTCCAACGAAGTAGTAAATTCGTCTCTTTGTTAGTGAAAAGCAGGCTGCTTTTCAGTCTCTTCATGTTTTCTAAAGAAGTTTTCAAATGTACTGGACTCCATGAGCTTTTCATTTGTTCTATCAGAAAGGTTCTGGTTCCACTCAACCCTGCAGAGGTGGTAGGTCGGGTAGATTTCAGGAGGAGCCGGATAGGACCAACGTTGGAAGACTTCCCTGTGCAGAGTGTGGTCCATGGATCACCTACATCAGCACCCCTCCAGGGCTTGCTTACAACCCCTGACCCCTCGGCCCCTCCCACACCTTCTCCTAAGGGTAGGAATCTGCATTCAAGTGCGTATCCCAGCTCATTCTCATGGTTTTTGATCCACTACTCTAGGCTGTGTTTTTAGACAAGAAAACTGGCCTCTGAGGATCAGCCTGCTCACAGCCACCTCCAGACAGACTTGTCAAAAATGGCAGATGTTCTTCCAATGAAAACCACACCTCTAAGATTAGTTTCTATGGGGAGGCGTGTCGCCCACAGTGTTGGTCTCTTTCACCGAATCCTTTTTCCGCTGCGGAGAGTTGGAGGGTGCCCATCAGTCTCTGTTCTGGGGGATCACAGCGGTCACTTAGCTGGCAGGGCTGCTGGCTTTGCTGTGTATCCAGTCGTGGCTGAGTCTAGGTGGCACTCACTTTGATCTAGAAGATGGCTTGAAATGATCATTGTTGTCTCACGTTCCCTCTTTTCTGTTTTTTCTCATTGAACAGTCAATATGCCAGAGGATTATCCCAATCAGTTTGATGAGGTCATGGATTTTATTCAAGCCACCATTAAAAGACTGAAAAGGTCCCCGGACAAACAGATGGCCGTGCTTCCTAGAAGAGAGCGCAATCGGCAGGCCCTGGCCGCCAGCCCGGAGAATCCCAGGAGGAAAGGCCGGCGAGGCCAGGGGGGCAAGAACCGGGGCTGCGTGCTCACGGCCGTCCATCTGAACGTCACTGACTTGGGGCTAGGCTACGAAACCAAGGAGGAACTGATTTTTCGGTACTGCAGCGGCTCCTGCGAGGCCGCCGAGACGATGTACGACAAAATATTAAAAAACTTATCCAAAAGCAGAAGGCTGGTGAGTGACAAGGTGGGGCAGGCCTGTTGCAGACCCATCGCCTTCGACGACGACCTGTCGTTTTTAGACGATAACCTGGTTTACCATATTCTAAGAAAGCATTCCGCTAAAAGGTGTGGATGTATCTGACTCCGGCTCCAGAGACCGCTGAGTATTGCATTCCTGCTGCGGTGCAGAGAACGGGACCAAGGTTCCCAGGAAATGTTCGCCCGGAATGGAAGATGGGGACCAAGGCGGCGGCGAGGCGAGGCGAGGCGAGGGGGAGGCGGAGGAAGCAGCCGAGCGGGAGCCTGGTACAGAGATCCAGCTGCATAAAACTGGACAGCAGAGAGAAGACGGCGTCTGGATTCTCCCGGGGGCAGCCGATGCCACCGGAAGCTCAGGGCTGGTGTCCCTGGTTGGGTGTTGCCACCGTTCCATCTGATACAGTCCACCGTCACCTGTCGCGGGCACAGCTGCGGATGCACTTGAAACCAAACCAGTGTGTCTCCTGTGGTTGGTTTTCGCACGTCTGGAGACACCGGGGAGACGGAATCCTGGTGTCATTCCTTGTCATTACGTTTTACTGCTGAAAGCAAGAGAGGTTTATTTTTCTGTCACTCAGTGGAGACATATCCCAGAAAGGAGGGAGGGGGGGAAAAAAGCAAAGACACAAGACACAGTAACCTTTGAACCGGAGAGTTTGAGGCCTGAGGTTTACTACAACCAGCGTGTTGGGAACGGCTGGCGATTCGTTTTGAACTTGGTGTGTGGGGTGGGAAGAAGCTGGCCAGGAACCAAAAAGGCTGTCCTCGGGACTGAGCACCAACCTGAAGGCGTTGCCCCCATGGCCTCGGAAACGGGAAGCCAGTGCGGTTTTCGGCAGCATTCTTGCAGGAGAGCAAATGGGGAAGGCCCCCCGCTCCCCGGGGCAGGGAGACCCACCGCCTGTCGGTTTACAGAGAGACGGATGTTACATACGCCCCAGCTCCGGCTATGCGTGGTCACCAGTGACCAGAGAAGCTACTCGATGCAATGCATCTGTTCCAGATACGGAAATAGAGAGAAGATATTTATTGAGATTTAAGTTATTGTTATTTATTACCGTTCACTAATGAGTTTCTCTTTCGTCCCTTATTTATTAAAGTTTCTTTCTCAAAGGTGCCAAAGTATATGTGCTCGAAAACGCAAAGAAGGGTGACAAAGGAAAGCTTAATTGGGAGCAAGGGTCCATGCTTTTTGAAGTATTAAATCATTTTTCGCTAGGCAGAAATCACTCACTTTACCTTTTCAAGAAAAGCACTCGTTAATTTCCCCAGATTTCAGCATCTTCCCAGTTTTTCTTTGTTTTTTACAAAAGAAATGTGTCCGAAGGAACGTGTCTGACAGGCCCCCTTTTCGGGAGCAGTGTGCAGAGGCCGTTGGCACTTGGTTTTCTTTCTTCGTTGCTCCAGCTCTGAACAGAAATGCCGTATGCTCCATTTTCTGTTGTATTTAAGCTTACTCCCCGCCACATATATCTATCTACGATACGCATAACCATATATATGAAAGGTTAAATTCCTTTTAGTAGGTAATTCTGGATCCAGTGTTGACCTAAAAGTAAAATTCCTGTCAGGTAGCCAGGGTTCCACTCTGAGCGGAGACCCTTCCTCGGTCCTTCCCACTGTTCCCGAGACAATGCCGGTGCCCAGCACAGCCACGGAGCACGCTGCCAGGCTTCCAGAACAGGGTCTGCTGGTTGCCATAAAAGCCCCTTGGCTGTCATCTCGGGGCAATAGTTGCTGTCCCTGTACCCCCGATCCCTCCCTTGGAAGAAGGTGGCGCAGAGGAAGACATGTCTGGCCTGGCCATTCACCAAGCCTTGTGCTCCCAGCTGTGCCACCTTTATGATGACACCACGGAGGAGAGAGAGGCAGGGTGGGAGCAGCCACCTCCTACGGGCCCCGGGCGGTGCATTCGCCTGGCAGCCGACCCCGCGCAGTGCACCGGGCCCTATACCAGAGTGGGCCGCACGTTTCATAAAAGGGATTTTTATCGAGATCACCTATCACTACCTTAGTGGCTGTTAGTCCCAAAGTAAGACAGGTTTACCAAATAAAAGACACTACTGGCCTCCCTCAGATAATGTTAATTTTACAAAGTAGCCAAGAGGCAGTTGCCAGACATCCCCTGCCCTCAACCCCAGACACCCAAGTTCTCCATCATTCTGCCCCTGTCGGCCCTGTCCGCTCCCCTTGCAGCTCTTGGAAACGGAGGAAAAGGGCCTCCCCACCCCGCTCCTGGGGCCAGAGCGGGGCCCGTGCTGAGGAGCGGCCTGCTCAGAACAGTGGCAGATCCAGCCATCGGGAAGCACAGTTAGATGTCGCCCCAGGGTCATCTGTCCAGTTCAGAGAGTCCTGGCAGGTTTGGTTTTCCCGTCTCCTAGGCGTCAACTCAGCCCCAGCTCCCCTGGAGAGTCCCTGCCCAGAGAGGCTATAGGGCGAGCGGGTGTTCACGACTCACCGACACACCAGAGCAGGTTTCCACAGAAGCGAGCAGCTCCACCGAATCCACAAAAGGGTAAAGTTTGTGATTTTTCTGTATCGTTGCGATTACCGCCCCATTCAGTAAAGAGTGCCCTTCTTTGGAAGTTCCGACTTCTCTCATCTGTCTCGGTCGTTTGTGTTATTCAACCAAAGTTCTCTACAGACTTTATTTTTGTACAATATCATTTTGTAACTTTTTACAAATAAAAACTCATTTCTATGGCTCTCTGTGCTTCTGTACTTCCTCGCGTGCCTGGGGACCACGAGGTCCAGGCCCTGGGCTAGAAGGCCACCCCGCCCCCTCCAACACCGCACAGCCTGCTGGTTGGTCAAAGGACTTGCCTATCAACTCTCCACAGCCAATCACCACCCAAGTAGTAAAAAGTTCTGGGTTCACTCAACAAATACTTCTGGGGTGCCCACTCTGTGCCAGGCACTGCCCACGGCACCAGCCGTCCAAAGTGGCCAAAACAAAAATCTCCGCCCTCGTGGAGTTGATATTTAATTTGAGTGGAGAGAGACAATATGCAAAAAAAGTAAAACTATGTAGTGATCCAGGGAATGATAAATGCTCTAAAGAATCCTATTAGGATATTATAATAGAAAATAACACAGGGCCTGCTTTAGAGGTGACATTGGGGGCAGGTCTTGAGAAATAGTGCCATGAATGAGCATCCTGGCCAACCCATTTGCCTGAGGCTGGCAAATGCTGGGATGGAGCCACGACGTGGCTCATGCCCATGAGCTCACCTCAGGCTGGTTTTCTCCAGTGTAGCCAGTGCTAAGTGAAGTCAGGTTTGAAAGGACTTTTAAAAGAATCAACCCACTCCCCAGGTAAAGGTGGAAAATCAAAATTTCCTGAGCCTAAGTCTCAAAAACAGAAAGCCCTGCCTCCCCTCACATGCAGGGTCCTGCTTGGGTCACTGCTGGCTGGGACCAGGAAGCCTGAGGCCTGACACTGTCCACCGTGGCTTCTCAGAACGGTGGCAGGAAGGACAGAGGTGTCGGCCGTGGGCTGGGGCTCAGGCTCCAGCTTTCTTCCACCAGGTAATGAAGTGTCTGAGCCCAGAGTCTTCTTGGGACATGTGTTTGTCAACATTAAGTGTTACTGTAACCCCATGCAAGAGTTAACTCGACTTCTGTCTCATCTCACAACATCCTGAATGAAATTACAGCCACGTCACCCCTGAGAGTAACGAGATAGTGGGGGAATCAGGGAAAGCACCATTTACTCATATGTGACATCTAAGGCATTGCCACATCCCGCCCGTGGCAGGTGAGGGGACTGATGACACAGACGGGTGCAGGGGGTGCGGTGACAGGTGCAGGGTGAGTGCCGGAACGCCTCAGCCAGCAGCAGGTGGGAGGAAAACCTGAACGGAAAAGGAGTGAGGGACAGCAACAGAGCAGGGGAGCCAGGGCACTGGAACCTCAGATAAACACGCACCACTTCTCACTGCAACTCCGTCTCGTGAAAGACTCGGGACATGCGGCATTTGGAACAGACTTATAGTAAAATGATTACTCGTTGTTTATCTGAAATTGAACTGGGCATCCTGTGTTTTAATTTGCCAACTCTGGCAAGAGGCAGTGACATTCGAGCTGGGCCTTGAGTATGAGCAGGAATCTGTCAGGTGGACAGGGACAGAGGGTGCGGCTGGGATGAGGGACAGACATTCCAGGCGGAAGGAACAGTGCGACCCAAAAAGACCGAAGGCAGAGTGGTGGGTGCAGGCCCAGCAGACACCCTGCTGGGGGCCACAAGATTTTTAGAGGTCCAAAAGTGTTTTAATTTTAATATTTTTAAAATCAGAAAAAATAACTATAACAACAATGAATATACAATAACAGATCCTGCCTGGATTATATTCCTCTCTATATACCAATGCAGCTGTATACTTAATATTTTTTATAAAGAAAGGACCCACAAAAGTCACAGCGCTGCTACTAATCTGTGCATCTCTACTTGCCGTTTCCGTCTAGCTTTCCCTTTCTCAGTCCATCACTAAAGCCAACTTCCTCTTAAAAACAAACAAACTAACAAACAAGACCCTTCTTGCCACCCTTCAAGATTGTCATCCCGAGATATTTGCATTTACCTCCTATTTAGGGAAGCAAACCTCAGGGCAGGCCATTCATATTCCAAGCCCACTCACTGTCCTGGAGAAAGGACACCTGGCCCGGGGGACCCAGCAGCCTGGCAGTTCGTGATGACAAGGAGCGAGGTCAGAGAGAAGGGGGACGGTGAGAGGAGAGAAGCCTGCAGGCTCCATAGAACCAGAGAACTAGCAAATGACAAACAAGAAAGAGCCGTTTTAACAGGCAGAGTAGATTCTCTTAATTTGGGAAACCCTTTAAAGTTGTATATGTCGGGGATTTTAACCCACCTCCTGCTCCATGCCCGGGCCTCATTCATTCAATTAATTATTGAGCATCTATCTCCTACCAGGGGAGTATATAAAAATAAAGCCCTAATCTGAGGGGCTCCCAGGTTAGGGGGACATAAATAGAAATTAAAATATATGTAACGAGGCAGTAATAAGATTCAGTCTGTTATGGGAGCTTGAGTCTGGACAAAAAATCCAGCTGCGGCTGGGGGCAGGAAAAGGTGTCAGGGGCGACTTCCTCTCCTTTCAGACCTTCAGACCGTCTGCCTCCCCAGACCACTCTCT